TTTTTTTTTTTTTTTTTTTTTTTTTTTTTTTTTTTTTGTACTGAGGATCAAACTCAGGAACTTGTGCCTCTGCTTTATTTTGACCCCCTACTTGACTGTTGCTTCATTGGGTGACTGGTAACACTTGTTCCCTTGCTCTCTAAATCTAACTCAGTTCTATTTGTAATGCCCCTTCCCTTGTAGGTCTTATTTACCACTCTTTCTCTGGCCTTACACCCTCTAGCCTACTCCTTTTGCATTGATATCTATGTAGTTCTTCGTTGAGGGAGTTAGAAGGGAGAGAAGAGAGCAGAGCCTGAAGAAGGCAGAGAAGGCAGAGCTGAAGGGTCAGTCCCACATTGCTGGGTCAAATGCCCAGGTGATGAAAACAGTGAAGTTCGGAGATGGGTGCTGAGCAAACGAGCAAGTGGCCCTGGGCCATGGGTGGGGTGCCTGGGAAAGCTGAAAAACAAGAGGTTGCATTTGGCTGGCCCATGTTTCAGATGAAGAGCTGGAAGACAACCCCAACCAGAGTGACCTGATCGAGCAGGCAGCTGAGATTTATGGGAGAGAGTGTGTGTAAGCTGGGAGGAGAGACTTAAACACTTCTGTGGAGGTGACAGTGGGAACGGCAATAGTTGTAGTTGGTTAAGGACAAGGTGTTAGTTGGAGCGTCTTACCCTGGCCAAGGCCAGTGTTCTGCTGGTACAGATGAACCTCTCAACTTCTGTGTCCTGACAGGTGGATGAAGACTACATCCAAGACAAATTTAATCTTACCGGGCTAAATGAGCAGGTGCCTCACTATCGACAAGCTCTAGACATGATCTTGGACCTGGAGCCTGGTGAGGCATCCTCGGGGCTGTTTAGTGTATGTGTGTGCACCTATTTTTTCTCTCTTCCAATCCCTATTCACTTGTTTGTTTGTTTGTTTCTCTCTTTCTTTCTTTCTTTTTGAACTGGAGATTGACTCCATGGCCTTTATAGTATATACCACCATGCCCAGCACTTGAATTTTTAAATTTTGTTTTAGTC